ANGTATGTCATTACTGTTTCTCATCTTCTTTTTCCTTCATAGTCTCTCCACCTAACAATCTCTAGATGAGACGATAAGCATTGGGGAATAGTACTCGGCTGGTTCCAGGAAGATTGGGCACACCCCTGATACCATTACATATACTTTCTTATTTAAATTCATCAAAAGACTATCATGTGCATATTATTTTAAGGGATGAGGGCACTTACCATGGTGTTGATACTAATAAATTTCAGTTTAGGAGAGTTTTGAAGCAAAAAAAATAAGTGATTCCAACCATTGTACTCCTTTTTCTGGAATAAAGAACAAATCTATGAGCCGAGAGAACTTAGTGGCGTTACAACACGCAACCTGCAATAAAAAAAAAAAAGACCAAGCAAGGAACAAGGTTTCAAGGGAGATCGGTCCCGAGGGATATGTAACAGCTACCATTGATTCGGATAAAGACAAGCACATACGTCTGGCGGAAGAAAGACATTGTCAGAAACTTTGCATCATGGTTATGAACATAGCCGATGTATACCTCATCAAGGCAAAGGCATATTCTCTATCAAACTACAATAGTCTCCCCAGTGATCACTAATGCCTAAATCTACAAATGCAGGGGAATCTATCACCAACGACCCAGTGTGATATTCCTCTATGCATGTAGCGCCTAGTCTTGTAATATAATATTTTCACTTTGACGGTAAAGTTGGTCAAGCTGTCATCCCGATATTGTCTTTTAACCATAAGTCGGTTGAGAACAGGGGAACTTGATAAAAGCCTAGCAAGAGAGTCTTCGTCTTGGTACAGGACGTTGAAAAGATCCAGATATAAGAGAGATGGTAAGCTAGCCGGGAAAGAAACATCGACGAGAATGTTGTCGGATAGAGTTAAAGAAACGAGCGTCTCGCATGTGTAAAGGCTCTTAGGTAGGTCTGTGACCTTTGTTGTCCAGAGAATCTTGAAATCTAACGCGATCACACCAAGGTTCACTGCTTTACGTCAACAGGACAGAGTTCGACAACCAGGCTTATTAGTTTCGGTGCTTTATGGAGTTGCAGTGACTTTTCAATAAACAACCCAAAGCTCTCACTGCCTCCTTGGTCGTCTTTGAAGGTGAGTTTAGGAAGCATCTTCCAGACGTTACGCCATCGTTTAGACAATATCTCAGTGGCCACTGCATCTTTTGTCGGGACGAGGAGCAAGATCCGCAATAGCAAATCGTCTGGCAAATCACATATTCTCTGACAACCCATAGTGCCAATGCAACAAAACCGTATTCCCTGGCTGGAAACAAACAAAAACCCTAATCTACGGGAAAAGCTAAGATGATAAAATCCCTAACTAGAAGCTTACCGCAAGTTCGAATATAATTATTTGATTGATTATTTTCAGAGAATGGCTACAAACCTACATATATAAATTATAAAGTCACGATGTGGTCAAAGATCTTAAACCGGGTAACTAAACCGACATTGATTAAACCAAATAGATAATACTATAATTTCCTATAACAGAGTTTATTTTTCTACTCCATTAATTATGTAACAAATTTATTTTTTAATGCACATAAAATGAAAAATCTTGCCCAAGCGAAAACATGCATGTAGCATATAACAATCGATTCCAAAACATTTTTCCAAAACTTATATAAAACATGCAATCCCATTAGATGAGTAGCAAAGTTTTTCATTTTCGCCCTAAGTATACTTA